TGTCTGTCTGTTCATACTCCAGTATCACGCTGTTTTAATTAGTACCTTTTTAAAAAATTTTATTTGCGTACGTGGTCAGGTTGGTTTCTCATTGCTCTTCTGCTTTAGAGTTTTCCTGGCTATGTTTGCTTCTTCTTCCACCTAGTACTCTTCTACCAGTGCCTTATAAACTAGTTCAGCCTAACATGGGGAGAAATGCCGAAGGGCCAGAATCAATTCTGCAGTGTAATCCATTCCAGTTTATCAAGCCTATGCATTTTTAGCAGAAATTGAATAAATCACTTGCAATAAAACCATAAATACAAATTGGCATACAATTTCTTTTTTCACTTAAGCACTTTCCTGTTATTAGTCTTTTTAAACATAACATTCCTTAATTTCCATAACTATTCATTTACTGTTGGACACTTTCCATTTTCCCCTATTGTTTCTATTCCTTTTCATTATGAAAAACAAAACAAAACAACAACCATGTAATGAATATCTTGAAGCATATGAGCTCTTTATGCAATCTTTGGCACTGATTTTTAGATGGGTTTATTGAGGCAAAGTACATGGGCATCTTTTAAGACTGTGAACACACATTACTAAAATTTGTACCTGTTTATATTCTGACAAGCTTATGTGTGTGGTATCAACTTCACCACACTTTACTCATCAGCAACTAGTTATCTCAGGCCTCTAAAGGTCATGTCAGAGCATTTTAAGTCACACAATGTGGGGAAATGGGTTCCATTAAGGTGTTGGGATTAAGGTGAAAAAATACCATTTACAAAATAAATTTTGCACAAGGTTTCTCCCTCTTGGAATGCTGATATAATCTTCTGAGGGTTAGGTTTATTTGCATAATGACCCAGGTGTCTTCTGGGTGTTAATGGCTACAAGTCTCCCACCCACCCTGCAAAAAACCCTTCTGGAACTTCAAGGTATGGACATCTATGAAGGTGGATAAGGGTGAGGGTGGCACTGATCAGGTCCTAGTGGCTTAAACCACCAGTAATAGTTTGGAAGTAAAATGATCAGAAAGGTTAAGAGACATGGAACTACAGCTGACCTTTGAACAATGTAAGGGTTTGGGATACCAACCCCCAACACAGTCGAAAATCTGTGTATAACTTGACTCCCCCAAAACTAATAGCCTACTCTTGACCAGAAGGAAGCCTTACCGATAACATAAATACTTGATTAACACACATTTTATATATTATATGTACTATATACTGTATTCTTAATATATAGGACGCTAGAGAAAAGACAATATTATTAAGAAAACCATAAGGAAGAGAAAATACATTTACACTACTGCACTGTATTTATCAGATAAAATAACTGTGTATAAGCGGACCCATGTAGCTCAGAGCTGTGATGTTCAAGGGTCATCTGTAATGGGATAGCCTTGCCACTGAACAGGAAGAAGAGGTAAAGGTGCTCAATTCCAGATGCTGAGAAAGCTTGAGAAGAGAGAGTTGCAAAGTTCTTCAATTGAGTCCCACACAGGAAGGCTGCTATACCTACAAATACCATCTGTTGAGCTTTCAAGGTTAAACCTTAAAAGCCAGGGGCTGAAGTTCTTGCTTCTGTGTTTGTGACGCTCCCTCCCCCAACCCCAGAGCCTTGTTGATAGCAGAGTCCTCTCCATTTGGGTGTAGATTTCAAGGCCAAACCAGTCTGAATGGGACTTCCGTCACTCAAACTTATGGTAACTTCTTTGGAATCCCAAGACACACGGAGGAGGTAGTGGCTGAGGAACGGTATTAGTCTGCTTGGGCTGCCATAACAAAATACCACAGACTGGGTGGAATCTTAGGAGGGCAGCTTGTGGCTCTAAAGTTCTCACTAATATTGATAGTTTGGGTAGGAAGGTGGAGAAAACCAGAATTGACTGTGGGATATTACATACAGAATTGGGAGTTGGAAGAAAGTTTAGAAACCTAATACTTATTTTGTAGTTAGGGAAGGCCCAAAAAGCTTAGAAGACATGTCTAAGTTAAGCTTGGGATTTAATCCATTATACTTGCAGTAGATTATTGATTATACATGTCAGGCCTTATGCCCTTTACATATCTTTCCTTGCACTAATTACAATCTGTGTTTAGCTGTTTTACTTTTTTTTTTTTAAGATTTTATTTATTTATTTGAGAGAGAGAATGAGAGATAGAGAGAGCATGAGTGTGGGGAGGGTCAGAGGGAGAAGCAGACTCCCTGCTGAGCAGGGAGCCTGATGCGGGACTCGATTCTGGGACTCCAGGATCATGACCTGAACCGAAGGCAGTCGCTTAACCAACAGAGCCACCCAGGCACCCAAGTTGTTTTACTTTCTTGCTACAAGTCCATGAAGACCAAAATCTGACCCATCTTGTTGACTGATCTATCCCTGACAGTGCCTAGCACATTGCCTAGCCCTTTGTAAGAGCTGAATAAATATTCAGTGAATGAATAAATGGCTGAACAATAAAAGCTAAACTTTAATGAATATTCATGATGGGCCATGCATCAAGCTCTCTACATGCTTGATTTCATTATCTTATTTTCATAATAAGTTCACAATAAATAATTTTTCTAATTTTTTTAGAGGAGGAACCTGAAGCTCAGGAAGGCAAAAATATTTTCCAAAGACGGAGCTAGGAAGGACAGAGCTGGAATTTGAACCCAGATCTGGCTGACGCCGAAGTTCATCCAAGTGTTTAATCAAAATGCTAAACTATGTGCTTCAAATTCAACACAAGGATCATAAGGCAGGAACGACATGGAGAAACAACTGTGTGTAAGTTACTTTTTAGATGTATCTTTTTTTTCTTTTTTAAGATTTTATGCATTTGAAATACAGAAAGCATGAACAGGGAGAGGGGCAGACGGAGAGGGAGAAGCAGACACCACCCCCCCACACAGCCCCCTCACCCTCGCTGAGCAGGGAGCCCGACCTGGGGACCCAGGGCTCAATTCCAGGATCCTGGGATCATGACCTGAGCCGAAAGCAAAGGCTTCACGAACTGAACCGCCCAGGCGTCCTACTTTTTAGATGTATCTTAATGTATGTCTGTATGTGCCTGGCAGAAAAGGGAGACATTGCTTTTGGAGAGAAAGAGCATGGATCAAGTCAGGAAGGTTGGAAAAAGCAACGTGTATTCAGAAAACAAGGTCAGTGGACTTCGAAGAGGAGGAAAGTTGGGTCCAAGATGTGAAGGGCCCTGTAGGCCAGAGGTCAGCAAACTATGACCTCAGGTCACATTTATCCCAAGTTCTGTTTTTGTGGAGGCTATGAGCAGGCAGTTTTGATACATTTTAGACAGAGACAATAATTTGTGAGGAATTGACAGGCTAAAGCTTTAGTTAGTAAGGGAGCTTTAGTTAATAAGGAATTCTAAGCAGAATTTGGGCTGAGGTAGTAGATTATGAAAAAAAAATAACAAGTTTTGTTTCTCCAGCTTTCTTGGTTCTAAAGTTCCTATCTCTGGTGATAAGGATGTCTTTTTACTTCTTAGCACAGGGAGGGTATTTTTCACACGGGAAATTTATTTCCTGCTTTCAGGGAGACAGAGGAAGGTCTGGGTGTCCTTGCGCCCGTTGTTTCCCTGGTAGCTTCAATTCAAAATAATCAATATGCCATTGCAGTACATTTTGGGGCAGCCTGCCCTGGGCCCCTACACATCCTATACCAGAATTCCTTGTTTTCCATTAAAACAAGTACAGAGAGGGCTTTTTATTTTATTTATTTTTTATTTTTTTAGATTATTTATTTATTTATTTATTGAGAGAGAGAGAGAATGGTAGAGAGAGAGCATGAGAGGGAGGAAGATCAGAGGGAGAAGCAGACTCCCTGCTAAGCAGGAAGCCCGATGTAGGACTCGATCCCGGGACTCCAGGATCATGACCTGAGCCGAAGGCAGTCGCTTAACCAACGGAGCCACCCAGGCACCCCAGAGAGGGCTTTTTAAATTGTATAGCACATAGAGGTGTAATGCAAGTTCCCAAAACAGGTTTAGGGACTGGTTTATGTGAACCTGAGTTAGCTGCTTTGTAATCAACACAGTTTTCATTCTACAGAATCCGGTGGGGCTTCTGGGCGAAGAGCTTGACCTCGTTCCTCTGTGAGATTTAAATAATAAAAATGAAGCTGAAAAATTGTGTCCTCTTGAATATCGTGTCAGGTCAGTCCCTAGGCCTTCCTCTACTTCCCTTGGGTTCCTGGCAGGAAACATGTGGAGAGGAAGCGGATAAACAGGTTCCAGTTCCCAGCAGCAGCACGTTGGAGAAATTTTCCATCTGTTGGCGTGCCCTTGCTTCCTTACAAAAGTGCGGTTTGAAACAGGGTTTCTCTTCTCTGTTTTTTTTTTTTTTTTAAGATTTTATTTATTTGATGGGCGCCTGGGTGGCTCAGATGGTTAAGCGTCTGCCTTCGGCTCAGGTCATGATCCCAGGGTCCTGGGATCGAGTCCCGCATCGGGCTCCCTGCTCCTTGGGGGCCTGCTTCTCCCTCTGCCTCTCTCTCTCTCTCTCTCTGTCTCTCATGAATAAATAAAATCTTTAAAAAAAAAAAGATTTTATTTATTTGACAGAGAGAGGCACAGCCAGAGAGGGAACACAAGCAGGGGGAGTGGGTGAGGGAGAAGCAGGCTTCCCGCGGAGCAGGGAGCCCGATGATTCCAGGGATCATGACCTGAGTCGAAGGCAGAGGCTTAATGACTGAGCCACCCAGGCGCCCCATCTTATCTCGTTTTTAAAAGCCTTTTTTCTCAGGCGCTTGCATCCTGGTACAGTGTTCAGAATGCCAAGCTGGTTTTCGCTTTATACCATCACGTGACGCCGCCTCTCCTCCAGCCTTGAGACTCTTTAAAACAAAATTACAAAATTCAGTTGCTGAAATTCTAGAGGGGGTGGGGGTGGGGGCGGGGGTGGGAAACAAGGGTTGCGCAGGGCAACGGACTACAACTCCCCCAAGCCCTCGCGCGGCGGCTACCCTCCCTCCCCCACCCCCCCCCCAGCCGGAGCCCTGCGCTTGCGCGGAAGACCCTGCGCTGAGAGGAGGGGCGGGGACGGGACAACGCGCCTGGAAGGGGAGGAGGAAAAAAGAGACCATAGACTTTCACCTGGGCCTAGAAGGTCTCTTAAAGTAGTGGGGAGAGGAGGGCGGGCGGGGACCACCTTCAGAGCTGGCCGCCGGCGGTGTCATGGCGACCCGGAACCCCCCTCCCCAAGGTGAGCGGCCGGGGCCCGAAGTAGTATCTAAGACGCGGCTCACAGCTCTCGACCTTGCTCCCGGGGGCGCCTCTTCTTCCCCCTGCCCCAGGGCTCTTGGGGCTCTGTGTTTTGGAGGCACCCCTTTGGAACTAGACTCCACTCCGGGCACAACTCTGGCGGAGAGCGACCCCCGTCCCCAGTACAGCCCCGCCTCCTGCCTTACTTTCACCTCTGGCTCTTCATTTCCATCTTCAAACGTGCTTTTTAGCTTTTTAGGTGAATTACTGAAGTAATTTCATCTTGCCAGGCCCCTCCCTAACCGGTTCTGTTAGGGGAGGACCCCACCGTCCCCCGCTTTCTCCCACTGATGAAAATGGATCTCGCTCTGGCCCGGACCCTACTCAGATTTGAGGGTGACCCTTCCTGCTGTGAAACTCTGACCTGGCCTTACTGCCATTTGGGGAGGCGACCCCTCGCCTCTGTGTAACTCTGACGTGGCTCTGGCTCCGGCCCCTAGGCCGGTCCCTGGGCCTTTGGAAGGGAGATGCCAGGCCCCTTTACTCTTGAGGCCCTAGTCTCAGGGATTGGGTTTAACCAACTAATGTTTCCATCTGGGCACTTTTAGCTGTGGGCCACAGCTAGCAGCGAGTTAATAACAGATGAAAAATGTACAGGACGTTTGACTTTTGGTTGACTCTAAATTTATTTTTTCCATTTTGTATTTTGAAGAGTATGAAAGCGATGACGAGTCTTACGAAGTGTTGGATTTAACTGAGTATGCAAGAAGACACCATTGGTGGAATCGAGTGTTTGGCCACAGTTCCGGACCTATGGTTGAAAAATACTCGGTAGCCACCCAGATTGTAATGGGTGGAGTGACTGGCTGGTGAGAACAACATCTTTTTCATTAAATTTCATTGGCAGCCTCACTGCTGCCCTTTTGTAAACAGGCCAGTTACTGTGCACATTCAGTGGCTTTGCACTGTTAATCCCTGAAGAGCTCTACCTTGAGGCTTTTCTCTGTGATATGATGGGCGTGATCCACACTCTGTGGAGACTTAGTGGTTTTGGTGATCGGCTTCCCCATGCTCACCCCTTGTTCCACTGTTCCTCCTCTCCCTTCCTTTGATTCTTTCCTTTTTATTTTTTTTTTAAAGGTTTTATTTATTTATTTGACAGAGACACAGCGAGAGAGGGAACACAAGCAGGGGGAGTCAGGGAGGGAGAAGCAGGCTTCCCGCGGAGCAGGGAGCCCGAAGCGGGGCTCGATCCCAGGACCCTGGGATCATGACCTGAGCCGAAGGCAGACGCTTAACGACTGAGCCACCCAGGCGCCCCTGATTCTTTCTATATTTTACACCTTCTGATTCAGTGATAGTGGGTAAAAAGGAAGAAACATACAAGGGTTAATTATATGTAAATAATCTTTACTTGTTCAAAGCTAACAACTGGAAAAGCCTTTGAGGACTCCCACGGTAGACCTGGTCTCCAGGATTGTCAGCCCTGTAGAGAGCCGTGTAAAATTCTCAGTGAAAATTATGAATCCGATGGTTCTGTTGATTTTTGTGGACTAATTTGGATTATTATACTTTGAAGAAGAGTTGGAATTAAACTGGGTCTTCATTGGAATTAAAGGACTGATTGCTTACTCTGTAATAATACTGTGGAATGCATTAAAGAGGAACAGTTAATACGCATTAACCTAACTAACCAGTTAATGTTTTAAGCTACATGATTACATAATTGCTACTATAGATCAAGTTGTTATTCTTGTAATAAAAGATTAGCCAAATAACAAGGGTCAAACAAGTGTGACCCTTTATTTTTGAAAATGTTCACAGCCTTAGAGAATTTTTGACTTCAGTGGGGGGTGCTGAGCTTGTGAGTAATCATTTTTTTCTTAGATTCTAGGTTAAACTTATCTTACGTTAAATATTTACATACTTAAACTTGATAAGTGTTAAATTTTTTGATTTGTGTTTTACATGTACCTTGGAACAATGGCTCACTCCTTTATGCCTTTTTGTAAATGCCATTTTATGGTAGAAACCTGCATTGTGAAGATTCTGTGATGCAGAGGTGCAGTATTTCTTCTTGATGTGTAACTTGTTAATGCTGCTTATGAAAAGCCCTGCAATTAGAAGTGAGATGTCTGGTCAGGGCCCTGGTTATTCAGTTGATCCTCCACAGATAGCTTGTATCTTGACCCTCCGTAACAGAGAGTCTGGTGCTCTGCTAAGATAAGCTCACAATTTGGTGCCATGGGTGATTGGTTAATGTGAGCCTGGGCCTAAAGCCCCATCTTAAAAGAGACTAAAAAAAAAACCCAGCAATAGAATTAGCACGTCATTGGGTGCTTTCCCCTTTGTAGGCCAGACTCGGTGAGAAGCCCCATAATTGGCAGAAGTTTGCTTGGAAAGCCTAGAGACAGAGCAGGGGGAGTTAGTAGCTTTATTTTAGTGGCTCATGCCATCAAGCAAAGGATAGACATGCTTGTGAGACACGGTCCCTGGGATATACTTGTGACTTGGCTGCTGCTGGCCTCCTCTGCTCCCTTATCAGAGCCTTTGTTGCCGACTCCCCTACTGAGGGACACGGTCTTTACAGTAATATGTATGTTTGGATTATAGCCACGTGTCGGCCCAGGAGCTGAGTAATAGGACTGTAATGTTACACAGGTGGTTTGTTGCAATGGCATTAGATTCAGTGTAGTAAACTTTTGCCATTTTCTTAAGGTATAAAACTGATGTACTATTGTGGCATATGTTAAGGCGGAATGGGCATTAACCCAACCAGTTAACATTTCAGACCAGTTCAGGCCATGCATGGGAGGCTAAGGAGGTTATATGCGACTGTAGGTAGTTACAGGTTTTTGATGATAATAAGAAATATCAGGATGGATGATTGCGAGGGGAGATGGGAGGGGTGAAGACTAGCCAGAGGGCCCTTAGCGTGGTTTGGAAGCAAGGTAATGATGCCCTTGAGAGTGGAAAGAAGACCGAGTCACATAATGTTCCAGAAATAGAGTATGTAGAATCAGGCAATCAGTTGGACCCCGAAGGTGATGAAGCAGGTGGAGTCTGAGATAAACATGAGAGGGCGAACCTAGAGAATGGTGCTCTCACTTACAGATTGGGACCTCAGCAACAGTTGATTTGGTTGTCAAGATGATTTTTGCTTTGGGACATTTTGAATATGTCATTCTGTGTGCTAGAGAAGCCCATGGAAATGTAAATTTTCCATTTATGAAGGTGTACTCGTTGCCTAGGGCTATCGTAACAAAGTACCACAACTAGGTGGCTTAAAACAAAAGGAATTTATTCCCATAGGTCTGGGGGCCAGCAGTCTGAAAGGTGTCAGCTGGGTTTGTTCCTTCTCGGAGGCTCAGAGGGAAAATCTGCTCCTTGCTTCTGGTACTTGTCAGCAATCCCTGGCATTCCTCGGCTTGTAGACCTATCACTCCAAGCTCTGCCTGCCTCGTCACATGGCTGTCTTCCCTCTGAGTGTCACTGTGACATGTTGGATTAAGTCATATTCGATTTAAGACCCACCCTATTACAGTATGGCCTCATCCTAACTAATTACATCCTTAGTGACCCTTATTCCAAATAAGGTCACATTCTGAGACTCTGGGAAGGACATGAATTGGGGGTGGGTGGGCACTGTTCAATCCAGTACAGAAGGCTAGAGTTAGAAATCCGGGATTCCTTTTGCACAGTATGGATCTGGAATACTGAAGGGAATATGAGCTCACCGAAGGAGAGAATCCCAAATGAGAAATGTGGGCTTAAGTGTGTGGAACTTCAGCTGGACCTCAAAGGATAAAAAGCTTTAGATGGGCAGAACTAGGTAGAAACCCCCAGAAACAAGGAGATTAATACCTTGAGCAGTGGTGATGACCTATTTGGAAACTAATAGGATTGGAGCAGAAGGTTTGGGTAGAGTGAGGGTTGGCCAGGTATGTGGAGTATCTTGACTGCATTAAAAAAACGAAACAAAACAGGGGCGCCTGGGTGGCTCAGTCGGTTAACCATCTGCCTTCTGCTCAGGTCATGGTCTCAGGGTCCTGGGATTGAGCCCCATATTGGGCTCCCTGCTCAGGAGGGAGTCTTCTTCTCCCTCTGCTCTCCTCCCCCCCCCACCCCCACCCAGCTCATGCTTTCTTTCTCTCTCTCTCTCTCTCTCTCTCTCTCATATAAAATCTTTAAAACAAACAAACAAAAAAATCACTGTTATGGGGAAATTCAACTTAGACAAATATAGAAGGAAGAGTGTAATGAGGCCCTGAGTACTCAACATTGTTTCAGTAGCCAATCTTTTTTCCCTATAAATTCCCCTCCTCTTCTGTCCATCCCTCATTTTGAAGCATATCGCAATTTAGATTGTGCACTTTTTTTTTTTTTTTTTAGGTAAGCTCTAGGCCCAGTGTGGGGCTTAAATTTACAGTGCTGATAAGATCAAGAGTCACATGCTCTACCAATTGAGCCAGTCCGGCATGCTAGACTGTGCACTTTTTTTTTTAAGATTTTATTTATTTATTTGATAGAGTGAGAACCAGAGAGCAAAAGCGGGGGGAAACTGCAGAGGGAGAGGGAGAAGCAGGCTCCCCGCTGAGCAGGGAGCCCGACAGGCTAGATCCTAGGGCCCTGGGATCATGACCTGAACCGAAGGCAGACACTTAACCGACTGAGCCACCCAGGAACCCCTAGATTGTGCACTTTTGACTTGTCTGTAGAACAAGGGAAACACTGAGGATTTCTGAATGGATAAGGGATATGATCAAAAGAAATGGGAAGATACTAAGATTTTATTAGGAAAGCAATGAAAAGGAGAAGAGGTAGAGAGTTTAGTACATCATTGGTTGTTTTCATCTTTTGTCATTTCTTTCGTTAAAGGTGTGCGGGATTTTTGTTCCAGAAAGTTGGAAAGCTTGCAGCAACTGCAGTAGGTGGTGGCTTTCTTCTTCTTCAGGTATGTCGGAGCCTTAGGTCCTTGCCTCTGCTTACATATGTAGCCCGTGGGAACTGAGAAAGTCAAGTTTAGCCATTTCAGTCCTGTCCATTTTAATAGAAGATGAAATTTTTCTTTTAGGTATCGGTTTATGGAAAAACTAAAGTGAGTTTTGAAAGCTGATATCTGTCATTGAAAGACAACAATTTTAAATACTTCTATATTCTATAAGCATAGTTTGATCCCAGCTAAAAAGATCCCAGTTAAAAAGACAACTATTAAAGTTTGAGGTGCCTCTTTTTTTTATTACATACCCAAATTTCCCTTAAAACATCTCTTCAGCAAAATAAACATGTCATCCATAATACAATCTTCTCATCCTGACCATTTTAAACATATATTTAAAATTCACACAGAGTACATAAAATTCAAAAGGTTTCTTTCTTTTCCCCATTTCCTAGCCATGCAGTTTTCCTTCTCAGAGGAAATTGCTGTTAGTAATTTCTAACATGATTTTAAAAACTAGGGAACCATAATAACATAGAAAGTGGAAAATTGGGTTTAAAAAAATCATCCATAATCCTATTTCTGAGGCAGGGGGATTTGAAATTTTAGTTTTCTTCATGTTCCTCTAAGTATAAGGTTTAAAAATGCTTCACGGTTAGAGGATGTTTATCAGGATATTGTCTGGCATTCGTGTCTGTTTGGCATATATTTTTCCAAAAATATCATTCCCTGAAGATCAAATATAGTAAATCCCCAAATTGAAAATCTCTGGGAATGAATGTTAGCAATAATTTTAAAGATACAGAGAACTGTCAGTCCTACCAGATTTTTAAAATGATTGATGTTCATAGCAAAATCTGACTTCAGCACCAAAGCCATTGATCGTATAATAACCAGTGTCATTGCCTGAAGTACAAAGGGACTGGATTCGTATGTGTTAAGCACAGATTTTGAGTTGTTTACTAAACAGTTTTTTAAAAATATATATTTACTTTTTATCGGTGGCATTATTAGGAGTAATTGCCTATTCCTTGTGCCAAGAGGTAAAAAGGAATATGGTTAATATCTAAATTTAGGCCTTTGGATGAACATGCCAGCATTTGTACAGAAGACAATTTTATTTAAGCGGATTTTGACTTGTGTTTATATAGAATCAAGAACATACTTAATTCTATAGCTATTCTGAAAACTCAGTTGTCATTTCTCTTTAGTGGGAAAGGGTACTGGATTGAAGCGGAGTTTCTGAAAATGTTCATAGCATAAAGAGAATTAATTTCAGTCCACTCTCAGTTTTGCAGAAGTCCATTTCGGTCCACTCGATACACACCATTCAAATCCACGTTTTGCCATTGCCACCTTTTACTTTGTGCCTACTATACATATTCTTTGAAGTCACTAAGCAGAAGAATATGGGACCTGTCTGCATCAGACCAGCCTTTCCCCCAAATATGACTCACTTTGAGAACTTAGAAGGAAACTAAGAGATAAGAGTAACACGTGGCTTTCAGGCTGATTGCCCATTGTTCTTTAGGCCCACTTCCATATTTGTGTCACCTTTACTTACATTTAAAGATACAAATTTATTTACTTAGAACTTAAAGCCTTTCTAGTAACTCGGTGTTAAGTGTTTTCCAGTAGATATTTAGCACACTGCCATCTTAAAATAGACAGTGGTATGTAAGTCTTTTAAATTTAATTTTTTTTGGAATTGTATATGCCCCTAATTCAAAGAGTCAAATACATGTACAAGGCTTGTTACAGGTTAGAGGAATCCTCTGCCTCCCTCACTACCCACCTTCCCCATTTTTCCCTCCCTTGAGGCAACTACGTGAACTCTTAGCCGATTCTTAAGGTATTTCTTTCCTTTTTCCTAAACAAGTTAATTGAATATTTCTTACTCAGTTTGAGGTATTAACTATTGGCTTCCTGTTACGGAATGTGAGACTTTAACTCATTTATTGAACTTTCCTTGCCTGCCCCCCTCCCCCATCTCACACACTTGCATGCTTTATGTTCCTCTGCACCTCCCCCTCCCCTCAACCCCCCCCCCCGCCCCCCCGTGTCATCTGAGTACTGTTATTTCATAATCATGTTAGATCATTACCCGGAGTTCACTGAGCCTGAATCTGTAAATTTGTGTGTTTAACCATGTTTAGGAAGGTTTTGACCATTATTTCTTTAAAGATTTGTTTCCTCCTAGTCTTTCTCTCTTCCCTTTCTGAACATGATTCTGATTACATGCGTGTTAGGCTTTTTGATAATGTCCTGAGGTTTTGTTCATTTATCTTTTCAATCTTTTTTTCAAATTGTAGAATTTCTAGTGTCTAGCTTCAAGTTCACAGACTTTTTCTGTCATCTACCTTTTGCCATTAAGCCTTTCTAAGAATTTTCTTTTAGATACTGTATTTTCCAATGCTAGAATTTTCATTTGGTTCTTTTTTAATTTTCTTTATCTCGGGTGAGGTTACTTACCTTTTCATTGATTACAAGCATAGTTTCCTTTACCTTATTGAGCATAGTTCTAGTAGCAGGTTTAAAGTCCTGATGATTCCAATAACCAGGTCCTCTTAAGGTTGGCATCTGTTGATTTTCTTTTGAGACTAGGCCACATTTTCCTGTTTTATCCTATATCAAATATGTTTGGATTTTATCCTGGGCACTGGGAATGTTATGTTGTGGAAACTCTGGATTCTATTTTATTCCTCTGAAGAGTGTTGATATGTTGATTTTAGCAGGCAGTTAACTTGGTTAGAATCAAATTGTAAGCTCTGTTTCACCTGTGGTGGGTAGCAGCTCAAATCTCAGTTCAGTTCTTTTAGCCTTGGCCAGAATGTGTGGCTCTGCCCCATGAATGTGTGCTTCAGGACTTGGGTAGAGTTTACACATAGAATTTGGGGCTCCCCTTATCTAGCTTTCTCATTTCTGGTAGCTATTATTGTCGTAGACTCTGTCATCTGGTTCTTTGGGCCAGAAAGATGGCATATTTTCTATTTAAGTTTTAGCCACCCTGCAAGTGCATCCTGCCCTCAGGATAAAACCAGAAAAATGGGCAGCTCACCTGACATTGTTCCTTTCCTGCAAGTTTCAACTCCCCTTGAAATCTGCTTGCTTTTGTTAAATCTGGAGCCCTTGTATTTTAACCGCGATGTATGGGAGGGTCCCTAAGTTTGACCATCACCTCCATGCCTGTGACCCAAATTACTGTGTCAGGGACTGCCAGGAAAAGCTTTCACTTGCCATTTGATTTGATCACCACTCTGTTTTGCTAAGGCTGGAGTTTGAAGTGATAATAGGTGAATAGATGAAGGAATGCAGATAAATCCATTCTTCTGTGGAGTCTGTATTCACAGTGAAAATGGAACTTCGGTAGACCTACTTCTATAAAATCAGATACTTTTATTATTTGAAGTGTTTTATTTGTGGTTCAAAGCCAAGGGGTGCCTTACAAAATTACAAAGAAAGCGTAAGTGTATTAGAAGTGATTTATAATGGTGTACGTGGCTTAATTGTTTACTACTAATGTGATTCTTTACTTTTTGATTTTATTATTTGGAGAGACTAATTTATGGTACTGGCTTACACACCATGCTGTTGTTCCTGTTCAGAATTTGTAGTGTCTCAGTAATACCACATGAGGGTTTTTCTTGTAGTTAATCAGCATTTAGGTATAGTTTTATTAAAAGGACTTATGGCATGAACCTTGTGTAGAGCATATTTCTTTCGTATTCCACTTTTGAAAGCGATTGCCAGAAAGTATTCTTAATTTAAGTAAAGAGTCGGAGTTAGGGCGCCTGGGTGGCTCAGATGGTTAAGCGTCTGCCTTCGGCTCAGGTCATGATCCCAGGGTTCTGGGATCGAGTCCCGCATCGGGCTCCCTGCTCCTTGGGAGCCTGCTTCTCCCTCTGCTTCTCTCTCCCTCTCTCTCTCTCCTCCTCTGTCTCTCATGAATAAATAAATAAAATTTAAAAAAAAAAAAAGAGTCGGAGTTAGTAAAGAGCCTTTATCAGGCTACTTTAGATTTCTTTAGTGACCTAATAACTGATTGGCTTCTGATCCCTTGTAATTAAACATCTGTTTAATTAAAGGGTACTTTTTAATTAGCTGTATAAAACTTTGATCATCTCTTTGTCTTTTTAGCTAATCCCCAAATTCCAAAAGCTCTGATAGAATTATGGTCCAGTTATAATACAGTTTTTGGACTCTTTTCTCATCGTGTACTATACGTTTCTTAACATAGTGTTCATCACATCTAAGTAATTAATTATGCTTAATATCTTTTTACCCTTATGGATACAGAGCTCTCTGAGGGTGGGGACTGATGTCTCCCTTGTCATTGGCTATAGTTTGGGGGCCTAGAATAACGCCTCACACAGAGTAGGCACGTGGTATTTTTTAAATGAAGAAATTGTGATATCTTACCTATAAGCCTCATAGATTTCTTGAAATCTAAATGTCCATATATTTCTCGGTAATAGGTTTGTTAACAACCTAGTTGGTTTAGAATTAACCATTTTTATTATATTTTTTCAGATTGCCAGTCACAGTGGCTATGTGCAGATTGACTGGAAGAGAGTTGAAAAAGATGTAAACAAAGCCAAAAGACAGATTAAGAAACGAGCAAATAAGGCAGCACCTGAAATCAACAATATAATTGAAGAAGTAAGACAGTGTACATTTTTGGCTCCTTCTTTTTCTTTTTTCTTTTCTTTCTTCTTCTTTTTTTTTAATGAGTAATCTGTGTCCAACGTGGGGCTGGAACTCATGACCCTGAGATCAGGAGTCACATGCTCTACCAACTGAGCCAGCTAGGCGACCCTGGCTCCTTTTTTTTTCCTTATGGGTCTCGCTTTACAGAAAATGTGACTAGTGATTATCTTCTTCTAAAAAGTGAGTGTTTTTGGTCATGTTTAGAGTGTTAAATAAAATTTGGAATCGAGCCACTATTTAAATCAATCATTATTGGAGTGGAAGAGGGAGCCCAGTCAGAAGAGTATGCAGCTCTTGATCTTGAGGCTGTGAGTTTGAGCCCCACATTGGGTATAGAGATTACTTCAAAAAAAAAAAAAAATTTTTTTTTTTTTTTTTTAGTAATTAACATAGTTTCCCCTGCCAGTCTCCCACCTACTTTGATCTGCATGTAAAAGCTGATAACATTATTCTTCCAGAAGGTTTCCTCTGCATTTTACAGATGTGTATGTGTGTAGACAAGGTGTGGTAAAACTAAAACTACCTATTTTTTTCATGATGTGGGATATTTTGAAAATGTGTATATTTTATTAATATATTAGTTTTATTAATGTTTTTATGTATATTTTTCTTCTTACCCTCTGTTTAGAATTGAACTGAAAACCCCTTGCCTTTGTTTTATTATGTTCTTTTAATACCCCCAACTTTTAATTTTGAAAAATTTCAGACCAGTTGAAAAGTTGAAGGACAAATACAGTGAATACCCAAATACCCTTCACCTATTTACCTACTCATTTTACATTTGCCTTATCTCTGTGTGTGTACAGGGGATTATACTTTTTTTCCCTAATCATTTAAGACATCCTTATTTTTCACTCTTAAATACTTCAGCATACATCTTCTAAGAGTACAGATACTCTCCTGTACAACTACAGTTACACTTATGAATCCCCCCCAATTAACATGATGCAATAATATGCCCTAATATACAGTCCATATTAAAATTTTTCCACAAAATATCTTTTATACATTTTTTTCCCCAATCAGGAATTATATATTGGGGTATCTGACTGGCTCAGTCAGTAGAGCATGTGACTCTTGATCTTGGGGGTTGTGAGTTCAAGCCCCACATTGGATGTAGAGAGTACTTAAAAATCTTTAAAAAAAATGCTTAAAAATAAAATCTTTAAAAAAAAAGAATTATGTATTACATTTGGTTATCATCATGTCTCTGAAGGCTTCTTTAATCTTTAGCAGTGTCGTCAACTGTGTTTTGCTTTTGTTTTTGTCCCCCACCCCCACCCCTGGTCTTTCATGATACTGACATTTTTGAAGCATGTTGGCAGAATATCCCACAGTCTGGCTTTGTCTGATTGCTTTTTCATGGTTTTATTTGGGATAAGCATTTTATCGACATGTTATTTATTTGATCCTGTACAGTTTTTCTTGCTGGCCAAGTGGACTATGAACAAATATCATTGTGCCTGCTGTGGGTATTATTAAATCTGTGCTAATAGCTTGCCAAATGGACCATTTCTGTCTGGGCCCTACAGCTTCTTGTTACCTGTGAGATTTTTTGCCACCAATATACCCATTATCTCAGTAGCTAAGAAGCTTACTGGGTCTGGCTGGGGCTCTATGCCCCTTCAGATTATAAGGGACAGCCTTGGCATCTTGTGTGGCGGTTGGCACCTGCAGTAGTAGGTGTACGAGAATCTTTGCCAAGTATTTATTGAATTGGGGAAAACAGCTGTGAAAATGTTACTTAGCACCAGATTCAATAAGTAAGAGTGTTTTTCTTTAATTTGCATCATTTTTTTCTTTTTCTTACTGTGGCAAAATACACATAACATAAAATTAACCATTTTAATTATTTTATTTTTTTAAATTATTTTAAAATGCACAATTTAGTAGCATTAAGTACTGAATTCACACTTTCATGCAACCATTACCACTATCCACATTTAGAACTTTTTCATCATCCCAAACAGAAACTCTAACCATTAAGCACACATTCCCACAATTGACCCCTCTCCCCAGCCCTTGGTAGCTTTTGTCCTCCTTTCTGTCTCAATGGATTTCACTATTCATGTCAGTGAAATCCTACAGTGTTTTCCCTTTTCTGTCTGTCTCACTTCATTTAGTGTAGCATTTTCAAGGTTTGTCCATGTTGTAGCACAATTAAGAGTATTTTTGTTTAAACTTATGTTTCAGGCAACAGAATTTATCAAACAGAACATTGTGATATCCAGTGGATTTGTGGGAGGCTTTTTGCTAGGCCTTGCATCTTAAGCATATGAATGTTCTATCACAGTGGAGTCACCTATAAGAAGAGAAATGGTGGCAACAAGGTTTCTCGACAATACTCACCGCCAGATTCTCCAGGGCAGCAAGAAACAACTAGGTGGACAGTACCAAACCCACAGCTTAGTGTTTTGCCATTGAAGTTTGGCAAACTAGTATTTGCTGTAAAAACAACCTATATGGTATGTGTACAATAGTATTCCTAAGCAAAACATGCCTTTCATTTATTTTTTTAAAATATGCATTTGTTTTGAAATTAGCCTATGAAATACCACCATTGGATGTAGATATACAGAGGGAAAAAATGTGTTGGATATATTCCCCAGTGAAATATTATCGTTGTTTTATTTAAATAAGATGTTCTTCATTTTGCTTTATAGTATAGTGCTGGTAATTAAAAATTTGTATTATAGCTTCAACATTGCGGTTGGCTTTTTTTTTTTTTTTTAAAGATATGTTTGCAGTAAACTGAAGAACTGTAATGCCCTTTTGTGGAAGGATTTAGAAGTAATAGAATTATTAAAGATATTAAACAGATTTAATATCAGTTTTTAGGTGGTGGTTTTCTACAATTCTTACTTTGCTTCTATAAGTATAGTAAACAGTTTCAAGGAAGACTTTTCTAAGGAAGTACTTATGTCTAAAGCTGTTTCTCTCTCTCTTTTTTTGATGTCTGTAGTTGCAGAAATTTCTTGTATATAAGCTTCTTTAATTTATTTATCCTGGCAGCCTGGGCAGAACTAATTATTTTGAGGGTACAAGTAGTTGGGTCACTGATTCATTTTATTAACCTTGAGTGAACCTCCTTTCTCATTTCTGAAAATCCTAATTATTATTTTGGCCCCTTCTTCACAAAGAGGTAAAAATTACTTTGAAATACTTAGTAGTATGGTATGAATTTACTATCTGAAAGACAGTGATTTTCTGTCATTATAAAACTGTACCTTAAAGAGAATTGTCTGTCTGATCTAATCTGAGATGTAAGTGCTAAGGCTTTCAGGTTTTGGTAGCATTGTGTTGAAGACTAGGCCAGTTGACTTGTTTCTCCGGGCCACATCATGCTCTCTCAGAGGCTCCTTTGCCCCGAAAAGCTCTCTGTGTGATTCATCTTGTTCATAGAATTCTATGTTGGTGGGCGCCTGGGTGGCTCAGTTGGTTAAGCGACTGCCTTCGGCTCAGGTCATGATCCTGGAGTCCCCGGATTGAGTCCCGCATCGGGCTCCCTGCTCAGCGGGGAGTCTGCTTCTCCCTCTGACCCTCTTCCCTCTCGTGCTCTCTATCTCTCATTCTCTCTCTCAAATAAGTGAATAAAATCTTTAAAAAAAAAAAAAAAGAATTCTATGTTGGAATTGGAAAAATGGCAGAACAACACTTATTGGGGTCTTCAGATTGGAAAGACTGCAGGGATTCAGGCCATCTCCTTTCAATAGGAAGCCCCCATAGCATATTTCGTGTATTGTAAACAATGAGGCATTTCATACTTCAAGATTGGTTACAGTCTGTGTGCTTTCATTATCACGACTCCCTAGAATTGAGCATGGGGATTGATCTTTCAGTTTCTTCCTTTACTGTCATCGGTGCCTCAGATACAGTGCTAAATTAAACTCCCGAATTTCTTAATATGAAGTGATTTTGCTTATAAATACTTGTTTTATCTTCTTTGAGCTTTTTTCTGTTTTGGCCTTGCCAAGCCTTCCATTGCTGTGGAATTAGAGGGAAAAATATGTGACATGAGGTGGAACCTTGGTCACACTTCTGTGTGCTGTGTCCGCATGATGCTTTCATCTGTTACAGTGAGGCAGGCTACTGTGGGGAGCTCTAGTAGCCAGCTCAATTTGTTCATTTTGGAAATATTTACAGTGTCTGCTCTATGTTTGAGGCACTAGCAAAGTGGGGGCACAAAAAGTCTGCCCTCAAATCGGGACTAAAATCGTCTTCTATAAAAGTTCTATAATAATGTAAGAGAACCCAGGGGGCGCCTGGGTGGCTCAGTCGTTAGGCATCTGCCTTCAGCTCAGGTCATGGTCCCAGGGTCCTGGGATCGAGCCCTGCATCGGGAAGCCTGCTTCTCCCTCTCCCCCTCCCCCTGCTTGTGTTCCGTCTCGCTGTGTCTCTCTCTGTCAAATAAATAAAATCTTAAAAAAAAAAAATCGTATAGGAGAACCTGACATATATGATTTGTGGCAAATAAGTGTTAGGGATAACTTCTTTTTGGAGTCCACACATGAATGAGAACTGCAAGATATAGTCCTTCATTTTTACCTATACATTTCCAAGTATCTGTTGATCTGTTTGAAAATATTTATATACAAATGCGAAATAATAGCCGTGCTCCCCATACTGTTGTTTCTATGTTAGTGACCCTTATTCTGCCTCACATCTGTGCCATTTCCCCACAAGGTTATACGCTACATGAGGCAGTCATTTGTGTTAATCAGTCTCTAACTCGTGACGCACGCTGTGTAATGCTTTGCTCAAGGTGGGTATTCAGTTAATGTGAATGGGTGAGTGAGTATGAAATTACTGTGGCAGAATTGGTGCCAGTCTATGGGAAACATTTTCTGGGTAGTAGTCTCATAAATCAGAGGCTCCATCAGAAATGACTTGGGGCTTAGTTGGAATGAAAAGCCTATAGCCTGCCTTTGACTAAAATGGGGATTTTAGGGGCGCCTGGGTGGCTCGGTTGTTAAGCGTCTGCCTTTGGCCTAGGTCATGATCCCAGGGTCCTGGGATCGAGCCCCGCATCGGGCTCCCTGCTTCTCCCTCTCCCTCTGTTGCTCCCCCAGCTTGTGCTCTCAGTCTGTCTCTCTCTGTCAAATAAATAAATGAAAAATCTCTAAAAATAAATAAATAAAATGGGGATTTTAAATAAGTAAAAATAAAATGGGGATTTTTATGTTCGAGGGCGTAACGACTGTTTGCAAGATTTATTTAAAGTTGAGTGTACAGATTATAGGTATTTTGTGGCCTAGGCTTTAAAAGATATTTAAGGACATTTGGACTGATCTTTATTTTTTATTCTTCTAGAGCTCCCCATCCTTCCCCCTCACAAAAAAAGATGATTTTTAATGTGTTTTCTTATTTCCAATAAATATAAATGAAATATGCTCATTATAGAAAAATATGTACAAAGAATATATAGAATGTTTATAATATGTACTTAGAGATAACTGTTGTCAGTATTTTGGTACATAGCCTTTGGAGTCTTCTCTGCCTGTGCATGAACACATTACATGTATTTTGTGTAAAAACTGAGCATAGTTTATGTACTGCTTTCTAAATAGCTATTTTCAGTTACATATTACGAAAATGAGTATCTTTTTGTAATAGGTACATTTATGATGACAGAAAGATATAAGTGCCCACCCTCATCCCCTTTTATGAGACAACCATAATTAAAAGTTCTTTTTAATTACATTTTAATGTATTTATACATATATTATCTTTATTTTCCAAGTTTGGTTAGTATGTATTGGATTGTCCACTCTGAAAGTTAAGGAGTTCTGTGCACATCCACTTTCCTTTTTTAATGGCTAATATATTTTGTGTTTCTAGTAAATGCCTTTATTACTTTAAATATCATACTTTTTTCCTATCCTTCTTTTCCACCTTAGATAATATTTGCTAACTCCCTGTAATTAAAGATGAGGAAAATGAACTTATCTCTTCCTGCTACCCTCAGGTCTCCTGAGTTTTGTCAAGTTATTATCACTTTTAATGGTACATTCAAATGACAGAATTCTGTACAATTATTAAGAGGACTTGCAGAGCTGTATAAATTGATCTGGACAGATCCACACGTTAGTGACATAATCAGGTTGCAAACAGTGTGATCCCACTTTTTTTGGAAAAACTTTACCTGTGAGCATAAGCATGCACATGGATGCTCATAGAAGCCATCTCTGAGAGTTTGGTGTATGCATAGGATTTTCACGTATTTTCAACATTTTTATGTCATCTTAAGTCTTTACGGTAAGTACGTATTAATTTGTAGTTAGTAAAAGGTTTGTTTTAGATCTAGGAATAGGAATTCAGTAGGTTATTGCTTTTTTTTTTTTTTAGGTTCTTGCTATTTTAAGGGGCTCTTTCTTTTGAACTTTTTTTTGCTTCATTCACTGAATTTATTTTTTTTAAAGATTTTATTCATTCATGAGAGAGGGAGAGAGAGAGAGAGAGAAGCAGGCTCCCAAGGAGCAGGGAGCCCGATGCAGGACTCGATCCCAGGACCCTGGGATCACGACCTGAGCCGAAGGCAGATGCTTAACCATCTGAGCCACCCAGGCGCCCCTGAATTTATTTTTTTAGTTGTTTTTGTCAAAATGATGTGCATAGTTCGAGACGTCATATAGTATTTGGCTACAGATCAGGCTTCTAAAAAAGAGAGCACTTCTCTGCTCTACCTTTTGCCAACTTCGTGGCTCTTTCCCCAGAGAAGTTTCAACTATATTGGTTGTTTCTCTTGGTATTTACTACAATCACATTTCTTAGACTTTGTGTTATGATAAATGACTTGACTCGGACTTCCCATTATGGTAGATGTGGATTTAGTTCTAGAACACCTTCCTTTTTGCATCCTTGTAGGAACAATTTATTACATGTCTCTAAAGTTTTATACATTGTTATGAATATTGTTTACTGTTGAATGAGGACACAACCTCCTATAGGTCCCTTTAAATGGGTTCGGCTGGAAACTACCTTAGCCTGAACCTGCCAAGAGCTCTGGAGCTTGAAGGGCACTGTGACTGACAGAATGATGGCCTCCCAAAAATATTCACGTCCAAATCCCCCTGAACCTGTGAGTACATTAGGTTTCGTGGCAAAGGAGGATGAAGGTTGCAGATGTGATCAAAGTTGCATACCAACCTATCTCAGATTATTCCGGAGTATCCTGGGCCCAGTGTAATCACAATAGTCCTTAAGATAGGAAGAGGGAGGCAAAAGAAAGAGTCTGAGAAAGAGATGTGCCTATGAAAGAATGATCAGATAGGTGCTGTGTTGTGGCTTTGAAGATGGAGGAAGGGGGCCACGAGCCATGGAATACTGGTGGCCTCCTGAAACTTGGAAAAGGCAAGAACACACATTCTCCCCTACTGTCTCCACCAAGGAACACAGCCCTGCCGACACCTTGATTTTAGTTCAGTGAGACCCATGTTGGACTTTTTACTTCCACACCTGTAAGATAATAAATTTGTGTCGTGTCAAGCCACTGGGTGTTTGTGATCATTTGTTATAGCAGCAGTAGAAAACTGATACTGGTCCACTGAGTTGTCCTCCACTGTAACAAGGGAGCTGGCTTTTTGTATCCCCATTATCAGTCAGGTCACTGGTTGCAGTCTGCCCTTGGGGGTTGGGATGGGTAACCTCCCAGCCAGGAATGCACTGTCTTACTGAGAGCAATTCTCAGGAGAATGGTGCAACCGTCAAGCCATCAGCAGCTAATACTAATGCTGGGTAAATCTAAGCCAACGTTGCACGTGTAAACCAATAGTCATGCCTACTTGGGGGTGGAAGGGCAAATAAAACGAATGTAGAACTAAAATATTTGGATTTGTCATGTCAAGTTCTTGTATTGTTCCAAAACCTATTGGTTAGGCTCACACTTTGTGCACGTATATGACATTTTAAGAGCAATCCCCAGGGGCGCCTGGGTGGCTCAGTCGGTTAAGTGTCTGCCTTTGGCTCGGGTCATGATCCCGGGGTCCTGGGATCGAGTTCTGTGTAAAGCGGGGAGCCTGCTTCTTCCTCTCCCCCCGCTGCCCCCCCAACTCGTGCTTGCTCTCTTGCACTCTCTCAAATAAATAAAATCTTAAAAAAAGAGCCATCCCTAAATGAATTATTAGTTGTGAACAAATCACATTTCCAACATACCAATAAGCAGTCCAGTCTAAAGGCAGGAAAAGAAGCATGGAGAAAGCAAAAGTAAATAGGAAGCATAAAATAAGATGGTAAAAGTAAATCCAAGTATATCAGTAATCATACTTCAAACGGAAAAAGGAACAGAATTCACCATGTGGTTTTATATAAATATTCTATGTAGAGTCAAGCAGTGCGATTACAGCCACAGAAAAGGAAACGTTTATAAAACATCACCGTTCAGTAGAGAAGTCTCCAAGCCTCGAGCTGTAATCAAGCCTCTTCATTTTCCTTCAAATCCTCCTGCCCGCACCCCAATCTGGAACAGGCTCGGCACCTACTGTTTCTTACATCTC